GGTCATACATCTCAATGTCGAGAGGATCAATCAAAGTTTTCAACATTAAAACTACATTTTCCGATGGACTTTTGAGGTACATCCATAGTTCTACATATAAGGTTGCAACCTTATATAAACTTTTTTCATAATATAATGTACCTTATATTTATTTTATTAATGTATATTTGTATTATTATATTATACTGATAATATTAATATTATGATAATGTTATATTATTAAATATGATTAATATATATAATACAAGTAACATCGATAAAATAAATATCGGGGACTTGGGCACAAATAAGTTCCTAAATACAAGTTCTTAGCATAATCATGGAACAAAAAAATTCTTTTTAAATAAAAAATGGGAAAGTTGCATAATAAAAATTTTCCTATAAGTTTTAGACATTATAGCACTTCCTGTGCGTCAATCATGGATTTGCTATAGTATTAGGGACTTGGAGAAATAAGTTCCCCTAAACAAACGTGTTCTAAGTGATGCTTGCCTTATTGTTACGACATTGAAGCTGTGGATTTGAAACCTTATTACAAATCCCAAAGAATAACTTTGTGTCTATCTGGATGTATCGAAAGCTAGCATGTTTTTTTAACCTCGTCGAAAAATATAATATTATGTTTTGCAGTTAGAAGGCCAAAACATATGGGAAAATATATAAAGAGGTCATTTATTTTTTGTACAAAGACATCACAATTTTGTCTTTGGGATTTTAAAATGGGTAGTTGTAAAAGTGTCATTGAAAAGTTATAAAGTTCAAAATTTTTTCTTCAACTCTGTAATTAGCCCAAACCGTCTAATTTGATGTTTATATGGTCATATTGTTGTCACAACTATATAAGTGGTTTTATAATTTTCGTTAAACTCATGGCTTTCATTCAAGGTGGTCATGAACGACATATTATTAAGGAGTAATTTATTACATCTTATTGATTTATTCAGATATTTCATTGGAAAGAAACAACATATTGTTAAGGAATTATTTATTACATTTTATTATTTATTTGATATTTCATTGGAAAGAAATGAATTGTAAAGCACTTAAAGAATTCATTAAGTTTGAGCAATGATCCAATGCAACGACTGTATCATAGTATAATGCAACGACACTTCTAAAAACCAATGTTTGTGGTATTCGTATGACCGCAAATTTTGCACACACACTCTCTTTATCTCAATAATCAATTCCCCTCAAAAAAAAAGTTCAATTTGAACCTTAGATGTGGTCAAAATGAGTCATCTCCAAAAATGAATTTAGATTATGCATTTTGTGAATTTCAAGATCTTATCTTTTATAAACTCAAAATCATATCTTTTTTTTTTTTTAACATTGTTCATCCAATGATAATAAAGTCATCCAAAAAAATTAGAAATGAAAAAAATCCTTCTAAGGCCTAGAGCTAAGCATCTCATCAAAATGAATGACCTATGTTAATTGGAATAAAAAAATACTTTTTAGGTTGTGTTTTCAATTTTTTCTTTTTTTGTGATTGTTCATTAGAATGAAAAGAGTGTATATTTCAAATTTTGGATCAAACAAATTGTCATAAGATGGGTTTTTAACTTTGTTACATCATATTATTATACAACGGTTGCATGATATCATTGCTCATTAAGTTTTTCAAATTAATCAATTTGATTATCAATATGGTTATTTTAGAAAATCATTTTAGTAAGTACCTCATCAAATATTTTATTAAGAAAAACCCAAATGTCTCTCTTCAGTCCTAAACAAGAAGTGCTATTTTGGTAATTTTATCCACGATTGCTCTTCCAAAGTTCCAAACAATAAGCATTTTTTATTGAAATTTAGAATTTCAGGTTTGGAAGCTAGAAGAATGAGGGAATTTTCTTCATGTGGCCGGGCTAAGTAGTATGAACCATATGAGCCACGTAATGAAGCACCATTACTTGTTGAAGATTGCATAGTAGTGTGTTTTTTATTTTTGTAAGCATCCCTTCTTTCAGGGTTGAAACCATTGTTAACAAGCCGATGTTACAAACGCGACTTTTAAAAAAATATGCATTTTTTTTACATAAACGTTTAAAATGCGCATTAATGATCTTTATGAAAAAATCGGCTCAAAAAAACTTTGCCTTTTTAACCAGTATTTATTTTTTCCCTAAAAGATGAAAACTTTTTTCTTGTTTTATCTAATTTTTATTTCCATACTTTCTAAAAAGTATATTATTTCCCTAAAAAAAAAACTTACTTAAGAAATAAATTTTTATCCCCAAGAATATTGTTAAGGTTTATTATCTTAGGGTTTATGTTCAAATCCAATGAATAAAAAACCATAAAAACCATTGAATAAAAAATCCCCAAATTTTGACTTGGCAAAATTCTACCAAAAAATCCATCCAAATTAGAGCTCAAAGACCTAGATTATCACAATTTCTACATCTTAAATCCCTAAAACAAAAGCTTACAAAAAAAAAAAAAATCATATTAGAGCTTAATCCCCAAACTTAATTCATGATTGGAAATCTTGGATTAGTAAATCCTTTTATAAAAAATAAAAAAAAATCAGATTAGGGATCAATCCCCATACTTAATTCATGATCGGAAATTTTGGATTAGGGTTTATGTCCATTGTGTTTTTCATTTCATTTTCTATGAGATTTTATGTCCATTTTGTTTATCTGCTTATGCATGCTCTCTCACTCTGTGCTTCTTTATGGAAGATTTTGTATTTGCTCATCTTCTTCTTGTTCTGTGTTTCTTCTTGGTCTACTGCTTTTGTTGCTTGTCTAACAAAAAAAAGGTGTACTTCGCTTAACTATGGTTGTATTTGCTCTTCTTCTTGTTCTGTGTTGGTCTACTGCGTTTGTTGCTCGTCTAACGAAAAAAAGGTGTACATCGCTTAATTATAATTATAAAGAGGCGATCACGATATGGAGAGATGAATACATGTACTCAACTCAATTCTACTTATCTCTTATTGCCCCTACCCCCTTTTTTTATTTTCTTTATTTTCTTTTTGCGTTATGTACTAAGTATGTGTGGTATTTGTTACAGTATTTAATGAGAAAATTCATATCGTATATTTATCAGTAATTTATCATTTTATTTTTTTATTTGTACTTAATTTTATTTTAATTTATACTTAAGTTTATTTTAATTTCTATTTAATTTTGTTTTAAACATGTCCGTCTTTTTCACTCTGCTTTTTTGAGCCTAATCCGATATATTTGTAATATTTTTACATAAATCATTTTTGCCGATCCATATTTTTTACCCAATTTTTTCATCTGAATTTTTAAAATAAAAATGATTTATTTTTTATTTATGGTGAGCCGATATATTGATCTTTCTCGACTTGCTAACTATGGTTGAAACCCAACCAAGGGTATTTAGTCATTTGATCCACTTGTGTCGGATGTATTTTTGGTATGGGATTATCTATAAAGAGGTCATTTATCTTTGTACATGAATGTCATAGTCATTCACTTATTAGATGCCAACTAGGATGGCTTGGGATGAATCATGAAGTACGAGAATTTTTTTTGAGAAAATATCTCTATCTCTTATTTTTAAATATTCTTTATTAATAAATCCAATGTTTTGAAAATATCTTCCAATACCCTGAAGACTTTAAACCTATTTTTAACCTAAACAAATGTGAGAAAGACATGTTCTTTCTAAACCCAATCCCTTCTCTCTCTTTATTTATATACCCCAAATTTCTCTCTTTCTCTTCCTGTGTTTATTCAAACACCCCTTTCTCTTTTTTCGTATTTATCCAAACGCCTCTTTTTTTTTTTTCTTGTAATATCTCACCACCA